ACTATGTAGTTCAGGCTGGCCTTGAACTCACTTTGTAGCACAGGGTGGCCTGGAACTCTCATAATCTTCCTGCCTCAGCCTCCTGAGTGCTGGGATTACAGGCATGTGCTACCATACCTGGCTTATTGATGTATTTCTACTAGGTAAAAATATGGAATAATTTTCCTCTGAGAGTTTGTATAATATGAGAGTAAATTTCTTTTTTTGTCTTTTTGAGACAGGGTCTCAATATGCAGTTCAGGCTGGTCTTGAACTCACTTTGTAGTTCAAGTTGGTTTCAAACTTGCAACTATCCTCCTGCCTCAGCCCTGCAAGTGCTGGGATTACAGGCCTGTGCCACCACGCCCAGCTTTTGCTTTGCCTTTTAGTGTAAATTTTAGAATAATTTTGTTTATAAGAAGTCTTCGCCTGCCTGGCAAGTGCAAGGTCATGAGTTCAGTTCCCGGTACCGGAGAAAAACCAAAAAAAAAAAAGAAGTCTTGCTAGAGTTTTTTTTTGTTTTGCTAGGATTTTTATAAGAACTGCATATATAACAGTCTTTCTGGCTGGGGATATAGCTCAGCGGCACAAGCGCCTGCCTGCCAAGCCCAATGTCCTGAGTTCGATTCCTGGTACCCAGAAAAAAAAAAAAAGAGAATGAAACAATCTGTATTCTTGTTTCCTGTCCCCTCCTGCCACTCTTTTGTATTCATGTAAAATTTCACTTTCAGGCCAGTAACTTAATTTTTGACTTTAAAATATGTGTTACTGGGAGCTGAGGGTGTTGCTCAATAGTATGCTTATTAACATGTGAGGCCCTGGGTTCAGCAACCCTCACACCGGTTATTGGTTATCTCACTCAAGTTCATTGAGTATCTTTGCTAGCTGATGTTGACTAGGAGGCCAGCAGTTTCTCTAAGCTTCCTGTCAGCCTGTACCATGCGAGATCATACCGTGAGTATTTGCTGGGAACAGCAGCTTTTACATTTTTGCCCAAATTCTTTCTTTCTTTGGATTTCTTAGTCTTATTTTCTGTTGGCCTTGTGCTCCCTGTTAGTTTCCAAGGCTATAAGCAATTTTTTCTACCGTTATCTTAAAGGAGTTTTTGATTTGTGCATATATGAGGGATGGTTCTGTGAAGCAAGATGTTGGAAGCTGTATAAACTTCTGGGCTTGATATTTATATGTTCATTTAGTGTTTTTATTTAAAAAGTTGTTGATACGCCTGTGAGTGCCTTTTAGGAGCTGAACTCTATCTCAGGAGACTGTGTTAGATGCTGTATTTGCAAAGATGTACAGAGCCTTCCCTCAAAGATTAGATCCTGTGGGTGAAATGGACCTGTAAACAGTTTCATCCCTTTGAGGTTAGTGCATTGGTAGAGATATTCGGAAACTTAGGAATTGAAAGGGACGCTTGCCTCACGGTAGGAGGAATACTGGGGAAGCGTGCTTGGACTGAGTCTTGAATGATAAATAGAAGTTAATTAGGTAAATGTGGCGATAGAGGGCATTTTAGGCAGTTGGAGTAGTATAAAAACAAGCACCTGGAAAGAGATGGCATTGAAATTCCATGGAGGGGAATTGCAGACAGATTGGTGCTGTCAAGTGTCAAGCATGGGAGGCAGGAACTTGTCAGACAGGAACTAGAAGGTAAACAGGCACTAAAAGATAAGCCTGGCTTGTTTGGCTGAGCTTGGGCTTGATCCTCAGTGGTTCTCAAACTTGTGCAGCCCATGTGTTGTTTTTATAGTAAACATTTTCCAATGCCCCTCTATTGTCCTTAAATGGAAAATTCATATGTAATAAAATTAACATCCATAATTTCTAAGAAATCAGTGACATAAATCTAATATAAATGATAAATATAAGGAAACTAATTTGAAATACATAGTTTTAAATGTACATGTTTACATTATTGCATTAGAACGTAAAATGAATTACTCAGATGATTGTCCTGATATGTAGAATCATTCACTGTATAGCAACAATTGCAAATATATACAGATGTGTTTTATTGGTAGCTCAAATATTTTAAACAGTGTTGCCACCGGTAATGAGATTTTCCAAAATATTCAATGTCCAGGCCAGGTGTGGCGCACGCCTGTAATCCCAGCACTCAGGAGGTTGAGGCAGGAGGATTGTTTCAAGTTTGAGACCAGCCTGGGCTACAAAGTGAGCTCAAGGCCAGCCTGAACTGCAGAGTGAGACCTTGTCTCAAAAAGACCAAAAAAGAAAAAAGGAAAAAAAAAAATCAACATCCTGTTTGTAACAGTATGACCAAACCAAAGTGTAGGCTATATTAGTTGCATCCTTAAAAAATTCCAATGTGCCTGTGTATACAAAGCTAAGAATACCTTTTTCATTTTCAGAGTTATAAAAAGCAAAAAAGAAAAATTGCCACAAAGATGCTAAGATCTTTACAGAAAATTTGCCTGCCCCTATTTTGTGAGCATTGCAGAGTGCCTGCCATTCCTAGCTCCTGCTCCTAGATGCCACACTGGTCACTGTAAACCCAAACACAGGCTCCAGCGTTCTCAGGTGGGGCAGCACTGCCTCGCTGCGAACCCCTGCTCTTGTGAGTTTTCAACTTCTTCATTCTGCCATGAAGCACTGAACAGATAATACATGCATGGTGTGTTTCCATGCGGAGTTCCTATGTTTGTAATTTTCCTTTTGCTGTATTTCCCCTTCAAGGAAACAAAATGAGGGAGGAAATTATTACTACAAGTATACCTTGGAAACACGTCAGTTTATACTTTTTTTTTTGGTCTTTTTTGAGACAGGGTCTCACTGTGCAGTTCAGGCTGGACTTGAGCTCACTTTGTAGCCCAGGCTGGTCTCGAACTCGCAACGATCCTCCTGCCTCAGCCTCCAGAGTGCTGGGATTACAGGCGTGCGCCACCATGCCCGGCCAGTTTATACTTTAAAAAATAAATCTTAACAGTACTACTCCTTTACTAGCACATTACCTGCAACTTACCTCATTTTTTATGGTAGAATGCTTCATAACATCCTGACTGAAAATCATTATCATCCTGCAGTAGATAATGGCCATAGGATAATTTTTCAGAGGAAGTGGCAGGATCCACTGACAGATCACTTTGATGGTGGTATAGAAGATAGACTGGAGGGGCATCTGTGCTTAAGATAGGTACAAGATACCGAGGCCCTCTACTAGGTAGTAGGGACAGACCAAAGGGGACATACTATTAGAGAATTATTTCAGGGGGCTGGGGATTTAGCTCAGCGGCAAAAGCGCCTGCCTGGCAAGCGTAAGGTCGTGAGTTCGGTTCCCGGTACCAGAGAAAAACCAAAAAAAAAAAGAGAATTATTTCAGATATAACAACCAGTAAAATTGAACAGTTGAAGGTTATAGACCAGTGAAGGCAAACCTTTTCAAGCTTTCAGCGGTATAAACAGCCCATTGTGGCATGTGAGCCTTAGGTTTGCCACTGTTTTAGACATTATAACTTAAATACCTATTTGTTCCCTATTAGAATCAGTTGGAAAGCTTTTAAGCAGTACCAGTGTCTGGGCCCACTCTAGGATTTGTAGAAATCAGAATTTCTGGGATAACATTTGGGCACCAATACTTAAAAATATACTTCCTGATTCTAATATATAGCCACTGTTGAGAACAACTGATTCAGATTTGGAGGCAGTATGTGGAGGTGCTTAGAACATGTGTGTCTTGGTAGCTATTTCAGATATTTCTTTTTTTTTTTGTTTTTTCTCCAGTACCGGGAACCGAACTCACGACCTTGGCCTTGCCAGGCAGGCGCTTTTGCCTCTGAGCTAAATCCCCAGCCCTATTTCAGATATTTCTTGAATTAAATGAAAATCGATGAATTTGATCTCACATTGAAATCAGTTCTTAAATTGATTTCAATTCCAAATATTGACTGTAACCCAACCAAAATAACTTATCTCACAGGTGAAGTTATATCTGAATTTATATTTAATACAGTTTGAAGAAACGAGGAATACAAATCCCTGAGTTGTTTCATGATACTTGAAGCAATGTGCCAGTGGAAATAATTTAGCTTAATTACAGTATATTATAAAAATTAACATTTCTATTGAGTGGCACAGCCAGAGGTTTGGGGTCCTAATATCTAGCAGCTAGGCAGATTAATTTGGTACATGTTTATTGAATTGTAATGTGAAATATCTTTAATCTAGCAAAGTTGTAATATTTACATATCATTTTTTGTATTAAAGAACAAATGAAAGCTAGCATCTTTGTCTTTTAGCTCTGTCTCAAACAACCAAAAAAAAGTTATGTTGTAGTTATTGGTACAGAATTTGAGTGATGTGGAATTTTTAATGGCAGCTGTTTAGTATGTGCAAAGGCAGTATTTTTTTTTTTTTTTTTCAAAGGCAGTATTTTGTACTTATACTGTAGCATTACTTATTCTCATTACTTCTGCTTGACCCTTTTTGAAAGTATATTCTGTGATTAGGAAACACTCAAGATATTATCTGTAGTTAAGCTTTTGTTCTGGTATCTACAAAATTAAATTTGTTTTTGTTGCTTTTCTGTCATCATGTAGTCCATTGCATCTGCAGACATGGATTTCAATCAGTTGGAGGCATTCTTAACTGCGCAAACTAAAAAGCAAGGTGGGATCACATCTGACCAAGCGGCTGTTATTTCCAAATTCTGGAAGAGCCACAAGACAAAAATCCGAGAGAGCCTTGTGAACCAGAGCTGCTGGGAGAGTGGACTCCGGGGCCTGAGCTGGAGGGTTGATGGCAAGTCTCAGTCGAGGCACTCGGCTCAGATCCACACCCCTGTTGCCCTAGTAGAGCTGGAATTCGGGAAACGTGGCCAGGTGAGTTCAGTCAGTTTCTTCCATAGATTGTACTTTCCATTACATCAGCCCATGACATCCAGATTTATTTTTTATCTAATAGTCTTCTTTGTAGCGATAATAGAGAATAACAGGAAAGGATCTTATTTCTTAGAATCCCTTTTCAGAGATAGAATTACCCAGTAATTTAGATATTCCCAATTACAAACATAGTGTAGAAACCAGCTGTAGGTTCCCTGCAGTCTCAGAACAACATTGGTCAATAACGTGATTTTATAGAAGTTGGCGCCTCCTGTATTTTTTTTTTTTTTGTCCTTTTGAGGCAGGGTCTCGTTATGCAGTTCAGGCTGGCCTTGAGCTCACTTTGTAGCCCCAGCTGGTCTTGAACTCTCAAACTCGCAAGGATCCTTCTGCCTCAGCCTCCCGGGTGCTGGGATTACAGGTGTGTGCCACCATGCCCTGCTGCCTCCTGTATTTTGACTGGATCTCAAAATCCTTGTCATTTGGTTAGACTCTCCAAGGCAATGGTAGAGGTGTTAAAGAACAAAAATGAGATTAGGTTCTTCAACTTTGGTGCTTGGGAAGACCATCTTTTTGGACCCCATTGTGAAAGCTGTTGAAAACAGAAAAAAGGAATAGAGCTAAGTATATAATCAAGAAAATGCCTCTTGATACTTGTAATGGTTAACCAACACAGTACTGATGTGCCAGACTATAGCAATTTACTGATCTATATCAAACTTGTAGAAATTATTATTATTGTTGTTATTTTTTGAGTCAAGGTCTCACTATGTAACCTAGGCTGGTCTCAAACTTGCAGCAATCCTACTGCCTTAGCCTCCCAAGTGCTGGAATTACAGGTGTGTGCTACCACACCCAGCTCTTTGTGACTTGTTTAAATTTGAAGGATAAAGAAAAAATTTTGCAAGTATCCAGACAGAGAAAGCAGGTTACTGATAAAGGGGCAAAAGTCAGACTGACTTCAGATTTTTCTCTTAAAATTCTAAATGCCAGAAGACAGTGGAAGAGCAGCTATAGAGTTTTGAGGGTAAATACTTTTGAACCAAGAATTATATACCCTGCCAAGTTAGTACTTGTGTATGAAGGCAACTCAGATACCAAGGAAGACATTCTCAGATAGCAGGACATTCTTAGATACCAAGGGATTAAGAAAGTATATTGACCAAACCTTTCTCTGAAAATTTTGCTGAATGATTTACTGCACTCAACAGAAAAATAAGAGTCGGGAGATAGTTGTGTGGAAGATTTGATGGTTAAGAACATGATGTCCAAAATTGTTACATATAGGAAAATAAACCTAAATGCAAAATAGATTTGTAAGCTGGATCTAAAATTTTTAATTTATGTAGTTTTAAACTGTCACAGTGCATAACAAATATTCGGTGTAAATAAATACTGTTTTATTTTTGCCATGTAATATTATTATTATTATTTATTTTTTTGCCATGTAATATAACAAAGATGGATTTTTTAAGCCAAATGTATGTTAAATAAAAGTGTTACTGTGGGCAGGTCAAGTAAGGAAAGACATTCTGAATGTTCATATGACAGAATTGGAAAATGGTACAGTTTTAATTCTTTTAAAAAAACTAAAAAGTTCATAATGCTAATACTAATAATGTAAGGAGAGAATTTCCAAAGCACTCGTTGGAGAGGGATGGATATGTTTGAAATATTAATTGGGAAAACCAATAATTACTGCATCAGATGGTAGTTTGTATAAGTCCATTTGTTGTCAAATTGTAGACAAAAGTAGATTATATACATTCTGAGTTCCTGAAATGGAAAACAAGTGAAAACCCAAGAAAAGTAAAAAAGAAAAATACCAAAGAAATGTTAAAATTTGTCTAAAAGATATTGACAGAGATAGAGCTGAATTGTACTCATAAGCTGGCTGGATTCCAAAGTACCACGATCCAAACTGAGTAAGAAAGTCAGTCTGTGATTTGATACACTCACGTTTGTATACAACAGAGGTGAAAGGGATTTAAAGGTAAAAAAATGCTTTGGCTCAGAGGAGTGAAGAGTAACATTCTTGTTCTGCAGAAATAAGGGTGTTAGAAGAAATTTCACGTTTAGAGATTATGTGACACTTAGATGCAAGATTTTTGTTCAATGTCTTGATGTGGATGGTACTTTTACTGCTAGAAACTGATAGATACATATATTTTAAAACATTCAAAATTAGTGATTTTATATACTTAAAATTTATTAAGTACTCCTTCAATTAAAGAGAATACATATAGTAAAAAAAGTGAGATTAAAACAACACAGAATAAAACTTATTAGTACTAAATAAAGAACAAGAATTGAAATAAAACAACACAGAACAAAACTGTCTTACCCCCATTGTCTTTAAAGTCAGTCAGTACAGGAGGCAGTACATCTTAATTAAAGTATCATTCCTAAAAACCCAAGTGTACTGTAATGTCAGCTATGTGTTGGGCATTATCTTACTGTTGGGATATGTCAGTGAACAATCTAGACAGGTTCTTTATCCTGTGGAGCTCACAGTGAAAGGAAGTAACAATGTAAAAAATTATTTGTGAATCTTGTGGTCACAGATCATTCTCAGTTTGATTTTGGTTATTCACAAAACAGTGCTGCTTTTCTTTGCAGTTTCCACAGTCACTATAGCAGATTAATTTTAGTGCCTGTATGGTTTTTCTTTTCTTTTCTTTTCTTTTTGTTTTTTTTCCATTATCGGGAATTGAACTCACAACCTCACACTTGCCAGGCAGGCGCTGTGCCACTGAGCTAAACCCCCAGCCCCCTGTATGGTTTTTCTTGAAGGCATTCAGTTTGTTTTCCAGATGTCTGCCAAATCATATTTGTACTGACCTGGCTTGTATCTGTTTGGGAGTGGGTCAGGGAGAAGGAGAGGAAACTGGTAATTTGGAAGAGAATACCCAGATCACTATATTAGCTAATCAGATTTATTTTTAGATAAATAATCAAATAAGTACTGCTGTTATATCCTGTAATAGAAATTTGTGTCTGTTCTTAATGATGAGTATATTTTTTTAGCTGGTAAGTTTTGTCATATACTCTCTTCCTTAGTTTCTTTGGATCTTTTCAATGTTTGTAATTCTGATTTTACTCTTAATTTCCAAAAGAATTCATTTTAAAAATGCTTTATAAAAGTAAATTTAGAGTACTTTTATTCAATTAATGTAAAACGGGTGCTAATTGCACTTACTGAGTTTCGCTTGTCTGATTTTAAACTTTATTGTTAATCATTATGCTATATTGTTCCTAATAAGTAGCTGTATTAGGATTTCTAAGTTTGGGTATCTAGGTTTTACTGGCCGTTTTATAGGCTATTCACTTTTTATTCTGACAGTAGTGATTCTAGTCATCCCTCAGTATCTGTAGGGGAATTAGTTCCAGGACACTCCTTACCCTCTGCATGGATACCAGAGTCTAAGGATGCTCAAGACCCTTACATAGTGTTGCATGGTATTTGCATATAACCTACATACATCCTGCTATATATTTTAAATCATTTCTAGATTATCTGTAATACGTAATACAATGCAAATCCTATGGAAATAGTTGTTATACTTTATTGTTAGAGAATAATGATATGGTCAAGCCTGTATATGTTTAATACAGCAGAAATTTTCTTCTGAATATTTTTTATTTATTTATTTTTTTTCCGGTCTTTTTTGAGACAGGGTCTCGCTATGCAGCTCAGGCTAGCCTTGAGCTCACTCTGTAGCCCAGGCTGGTCTTGAACTGTCGAACTCTCAATGATCCTCCTACTTCAGCCTTCTAAGTGCTAGGATTACAGTCCTGCACCACCACGCCTGCCTTGATTTTTTTTTTTTTTTTTTTTTTTTTTGAGGCAGAGTCTTGCTGTGGAGTCCAGGCTGGCTTTGAACTCATTGTATAGCCTAGGCTGGCCTCGAAGTTGTAGTGATCCTCCTGCTTCAGCCTCCCGGGTGCTGGAATTATAGGCATGTGCCACCAAACTCGGCCTTTTCTGAATATTTTTAATCTGTAGTTTGTTGAATTCTCAGATGTATAACTTACGAATAGGAAAGACTGACTTCATTTTGTCTTTAAGTATTGAATATTTAGGCATGAATATATTATAAATTTATAATATTTTTAATCCAACATTTTTCTAATATTTCTTGAAGTAGGGTTAAAATGTGCCTTCTGATGTTAGTAATTTATAAACCATCTGAATTTATTGAGTATTGCAACCACGACTTTGTTTTATTTAATATTTATTTATGTATTTATTTAGGTGCTTAGAATTGAGCCCAAGGCCACATGCATTGCTGTGCAAGTGCTCTCCCATCGAGTGTTATTCCTGGTCCTTTCATCTTTTTCCTTCTTATCACTTATTTTTATTTTACTTATTGATCTTGTCTATGTTCCACATTACCATGTAAGAAAAGGATTTTTGCTGTGTTTTTTCATTACTGTATTCTCAAGGTCTAGGACAGTGGTGGCGAACCACAGCACACATGCTGCAGTAGGCTGTTTGTATCATTGAAAGCGCTAACAGGTTTGCCGTGACTGGTCTAGAATGGTGCTTGGCACATCTTATTCAGTAGATACTTGTTGAATGAATAAATGAATCAATCACATATTACTAAGCATGTACTAGTTGTTGGGGTTATCTAAGAGTTTGGGACAGGTCAGTGAACAATCTAGACAGGTTCTTTACCTTACGGAGCTCCCTGTGAAAGAAAGTAATAATGTAAGAAATTATCAGACTGAAGAGCTGTACCAAAGCTTAGAAGACAGGCCGGGGATGTAGCTCAGCAGCACAGCGCCTGCCTGGCCAGTGCGAAGCCCTGAGTTTGATTCCCTGTACCAAAAAAAAGGAGAGAATAACCACTCAGAAAGGTGAAGAAGGCAGTTCTGAGTGAAACTAAGAAGAAGCTGAATAAACCTTTAAATTTCACTTGCTTTTAGTTGACTTTAAAAATCACTAATTTTGGAGGTCATGCAGCTGAGCAGTACATTACTAGTCTAGCACTAAT